GTGCATTTGGTCCATTATTCTCAAATCTAATAACGGAAAAATCTTTTTACATGTAATGATCTCCCCAAATAATCTCCCAATAAAAAGACCCATAGAAATATTTTAATTAAAATATATCAGTTAGCCCTGGCTGGTTGCTCAGCAGTTAGAGCGTTGGCCCTTGGACTGATGGGTCACAGGTTTGATTCCCAGTCAAGGGCACGTACCTGGGTTGCAGGTTTGATCTCTGCCCCGGTCGGGGTTGTGCAGGATGCAACTAATTGATGTGTCTCTCTCACATCGATGTCTCTCTCTCTCTTCCTCCCTCCTTCCCTTCCACTGTATCTAAAAATCAAAGGATCCTTGGGTGAGGAATATATATATATATACACACACACACATATATATATACACACACACACATACACACACATATGTGTATATATATGCACATATATATACACACACATATATATGTGTATATATACACATATGTATGTGTGTGTATATATATCAGTTAAAAATAAGGTTTCATATTTTTTACTGCTAGAAGAGGAAAATTAATTATTATTTGCATTTGTAAATCACATTATTTCACATCATCTTTAGGACTGTCCATCATCTTTATTGTACAGAATTGGCTATTTTTTAAAATAGGTAAGCCACCAACTAGGGCATAAAAAAACTTTATTTTTATAGCCCATGTTTGTTTCAGCAGGGGTTTTTGTTTCTGTGGTGACCTAATTTGCCTTGTCTGAGTAAGTCCCAGACAGGCATGCGAACCACAGCCCATGAGCGGGTGGAGGCCTTGCAGGTAGGGAGGGGCAATGGTCACTATCATGAAATGACGGGACCCACGGACTGCAATCTAAAACTTTTAAGAAAGTTGACTTTGGTTTCAGATAAGTGGAATAAACAAATCTCTGCCCAGCTGGTAGTTTTTTCCTTTCTGATTTATCAAAACCACAATGTCAAAGTCCCAACTCTGCACATCTCCTTTGTAATGCTCACTTAATATGCACCAGATTTAATCACCAGGGAGAATCTGTGTGTGCAGGGTTCACACAGACACTGCTCCCAGGGACACTTCCGTTGGCTTTGAATGATCGTTAATATTTTCCTTTTCAATTTTGGTCAGGAATGAGCCTTCCTGCAAATGAACAGGCCAGATTCTCTATGCGGACCATAACACATATACAGACAGACAAATATTTGTGTATACTTAGCAAACACACTTACGTTCCAGGAATGAATCATAAAGCATGGATTTCCCCCAGTGTTTAAATGTTTTCTCATAGATTTTACTTTTAGGATTTTGAAATAGGCACAGGATCACCTTTCCTTGTTAGTATATATTGTGCCCTGTAACTGTCTTCTCCCACTCCTATGTCTCGGCTTGAACGGCTCCCTTTTCTCAGAACGCCCTCTCCCACGCTTGAATGTCCAGCCCTGCCCACCCAAAGGTGAGCAGCTTTGAGCCCAGTGACAGAGCTTCGGTTTGTGGTCAAGTGGACACCTTGAGCCAAAGTACTGAACTGTAGTTAAATCCAAGTTCTTCGATTTTCTAATTAGACTTTCTACCTTCTCTTTGCTTCCATTTCCCTGTATGTAAAATGAGGATATTTGTATCTCTTTTTAGAATTGTGATGGGGCTTATTCGGGATAATATATTTAAAAGATAAAAATTATCAGGACCCCTTTCCTTGACCTCTGAACACCACCTTGTCCACAAAGTTCTCCCCGCCCCTGGCGAAGAGTAGCCTCACCTTCCTGGGAATGTCCGTGACACGTCATCTGTTCCTCATGGACTTCACTATTTTCTGCATTGGGTCACTCACTCATTTAACAAACATTTGTTGAATACCTACTAGTGTGAGGCTTATTACAGTTTTTCTTTTTACTTTTTCTTAAATAGTCCTTAAGCTTCTTGAAATTAGAGTATAATCTTCAAACCCCCCTCCTTTATCCAGATGGTGCTTGACACCAGTGCTTGAACAAGGATATGCTTGTTTCACACTTGGTACAACACTGGGGAAACTGCTCACCGTACAGTACGGACCATACCTGTGTCCATGTCCCTGCGACCACGCCCTCGGAAGGACCACATGCTAGAAGTTATCCTGATGGATCATGCCAGTGCGTGAGATCATCATTAGCTTCATCCCCATTATTAAATAATAATAATAATAATAAAGAATAGCAAACATTTCTGAGATAAACGAAGATCATTCTCTTCCTATTCCCACATGAGTCTTTGGAATAGTTCTTGCAAGAGCAAAACACAATTTCCCCAGAGAGAGAGTGAACAGATAAACGGGCTGGAGCTCTATATGTCTCCGTGGAATTACATTAGCACAGATCTAAGCAGGTTTGCAAAAACCTATGATTTATAAATAAAGACTCATATATACAATATCATGGTAGATGAAACTCTGAAGTTTCAGGGGAAATTACACAATTTCGAAAACGAGGTGGTGTGTACACAACACCAAGCCATCCAAGTGAGAGCCTGAGCAAACCCTTTAGGAATGTGGTCTTTGCGAGCCCAGACATTTCGAGTCGTCATTGGAAATCTGTAATGTGCTTCTGACACTCTTTTACTACTTGTGGATGAACTGTACCCTAATGAAGTTTCACCTTAATTTGTGGCTCCTCCTAATTGACTGCAGGCTAGGAGACCAGAAAGCCAAATTGGTTAGAACTGTCTTTCAAGTGAGAGCGACCAGGATCTATCTGATTTAAGGCCATGGAGAGTACCCTAAAAATAGAGTACCTGGCCGTGCATGGTTTTATAATATCTAGTTTGAGCTCTCTCTCCAAAATGCAGGTCTAAACAGCGCTACGGATGTCCCGTGTAACAGGAACAATTTTATAGATTAGTGTTTTCTTCCCACTGCAGTTTCCTGGGTGAAAGAAAACACAAGACCTTCTAGACAGGCTCCTCTGGCAGGTGTTCTAGTTGCTACAGACCATGCAGGACTTTCAGCAGAAAGAGGCTCCCAGGCAGACTGTGCCTTGAGAGTCCGGCGGACTCAGAAACATTCAGCTCCCGGGCCCCTCTCACAGTCGGTCAGCGCGCAACTGCCTCGGGCCGGTCGGAGGGCGCAGCCTCTCCGTTCACCTGGGATGAGGTACCAGGCGGCGGAGTTTCTGACCAGGTCTCAAGTGTGGAGGGACTGAGATTGGAAATGGGCCCCTGTTCTCCAGATGTGCATTCCATCCTTGGCGGAACTGACCAGGAGCCTGAATTGGTTGTTTTGTTCTTTGTCCATGTTTGCTACAGTGATTGCTATCGATGCACCCAAGGTCCAGTCTCCGTGGTCTGCTCGTCCCGCCTCCCCTTTCTTCTGCCGCCGTTCAAAAGTGGGTGTGTGAGGGCATGGGAGGCCGATCACCCCAAAGCTCCACTGGGAGAATGTGGGGGAGCCAGGTGTGACATGCGCCTCCCCTGACTGAAGGGACACAGCCAAGAGCCACGGCACATGCTGGAGAGAAATGGCTTTGGAACTGAACTCCGGATGTGTAACACCGTGCTGTCTCATCCCAGTCAAAATCCCTGTCCAGATCACACTTCAAACGGGCCTATTACCATCTCTCATTTTTACTGAGCATTGTTTTGGCTAATCCTCCCCCAAGGACATTTTTCCATTGATTTTTAGATAGAGTGAAAGGGAGGGAGGGGGAGAGAAAGAGATAGAGAGACATAGATGTAAAAGAGATACATTGATTGACTGCCTCCTGCAGGACCCCAACTGGGATCGAACCCTAACCTAGGTAGGTGCCCTTGACCAGGAATTGAACCCGAGACCCCCTGGTCTCCAGGCCAACACTTTAACCACTGAGCCAAGCCGGCCAGGGCTTTACTGAGCATTTTTGAAGAAGGAACAGTCCTTTGGGAAGCTAATTGATCCCAGACCTGAGAATTGGACATGAATTTCTATCACGATTTCAGAAGAAAACTTCCAATGATTTAAATCCAGGTCTCACCTAATGTTCCAACTGGAGCACGCACACTCAAAACATCATAACAAAAGATAGCAAGTATTTAACTCTAACAGCACAGAAGACGTTTTCCACGATAGTGTAGCAAGAGTTAATGCTATAAAACCACAGTATTGTCAATCCTAAGTAAATCCAACGAAACGGGCTCAGATAGCACTCAGGCAATGCTAAGGAGGCCATTATGAAATCATCCAAGACCTGAGACACATAAAAACTTTATTAGTCATCACTGAAATAAAGTGCAAACAAGTTCGTCTTATAAAGATCCAAAAATCCTTACGTGTTTGGTCTGCAGAGCCATAAAACAGTGCTTGACAAATTTTAAGTGATATTCTAATTAATCACTGGATTTTTATAGTTTCTTATAAGCTGTAAGCTAGATATTAACAAGGCAGGGTGAGAAGAAATCCTCTTGAACTGAGCATGAGTTCTAAGTCCTTTGCACAAACCCACTGGTCAGCCAAGCCAGGTTTTGGTGATAAGCATCTGCTAGAAATGGGACGGACCACGAACCTGAAGATTATTGTCATTTTCATTGATGAAGGTAGGATGTAGAATATGCACAAAATTCACAGACGGACAGAAAATTATTCTAGCTGTGGCTCTATCTTGTGCAGGAAATGTTTTGGAGGACATTTTTACATTATTTCTTTGGTGAAACGAATACTTTGTAATATACTAATAATACCCCCCTGTTTAATACCTTCTTCACATACTCAATAATTACCATGAAAAAGTATGACTAAACACTCTTAGACATAAACATTTCTGAGTTACGCTCTTCAGTTGGATGCAGTGGTGTACGGACAATTTAGGACAATTTCATCCTTAGAGAGGAATTCAGTTCAAAGGGAGGCCGATTTCTTAAGGGCCCATCACCAGGATCAAACAGCTCCAAGGAGAAACGGGAACTTGCTTATAGAGAATGAATTAAACATTTTTTTAAAGTGACTAAAAGACTATTATTTCAATTCTCATTTTCTAAAACAAAAATCTCTTCAATAAATATGTCCACCTACCTCATAATATAAGGGAGTGCCTACAGGTTGCTTTGTCTTTTTAGATGTGGTTCCAAGGAGAGTTTGTGCTTCATCAATCTGTGAGAAAATGAAATCCATCTATGCTGAGAAAGAAAGGCATACATATAGAATACTCAGATATATGTAACTTTCAAACACCGAGGTGACGTAAGGGGCTGGGAACCAGGTGAGATATTTATGGTCACTGTGGTCCGCTCTCAGAGATGGTGTGAGTGTGTGCCTTTGACAGGACTCGGCTAGGGTATCAGACCCCTCTGACCTCTGACAGCTATGAGTTGCTATAGACTTCACTTTTCTAGTTATACTTCCCTGGGACATTCAAGAGTTTCATCTTGTATTTTATTGAATCTTTCTTTAAATAATTCCTCATGGAACTAGCATAGAGCCTGGTATGGTCTCAGAAATCTTTGTTGAATGAATGAATGTTGAATGAGCAACATTCACGGACAAAAAATAATTCTTTCAGATTAAACGATTCAAATTATTCTAGCTAAGTGTTTAAAATAATCCACCAAAATTTACCAAATAGTCCAAGAATATGACAGTTTTATATATTTTATTACTTTATCCTATTCTTTTGAGAAAAATATCTCTAAGGGGCTTGGGAGTGGGAAGGAAGGTACCTGCTGGAGAATGTCTTGCCAGGATATGATACTGAAGAGTTTGCGCAGAGGGACCTGGACAGCGAGGGCGAGGGCTCGAATGAGCAGATCGTCCTCCAGCTGGTTTCCAACCACGAAAGCGATGGAGCCCTTCCAGTTGGCCTGTTACAAAACCAGAAGGAATTAGACTCTCAGTATTCCCGGCTAGGTAACTGTGGTAAAAACACAACGGACCTTGTATGTAGCCTACGTGGGCTCATGATTCAAGTGGCCGCCAGGCGGCAGTATTGTGCCAAGTTTCATGCGGCATGACCAATAAGCAGTTTTCTTGAGAAAGTAGGTCTTTTATTTCAAAGAAGACAATGTAAAAAAATAAAATAAAAATGACACACTTTCACTAGAATGCTATCCAAGAATAATCTGGTGTTGGAAAGCAACAGTTCATTCATATGTTACAAAATACACATTAAGATATAATCATAAAAGCTGAAAACTTTGTTTTGTTCCCTGATACATCCTAAGATTCTAAATAGTGCCAGGAACATAGTAGGAGCTCAAGAAATATCTGTTGAATGTTGGATAATGTTCAGCTGCTTGCCAACGGGCTTGCACAGGAGGTAAAAATGCAATCTCTAAGGTTTTTCAAAGCACAGAACTAGAAGACATTTTCCTCTTAACCAAACACAACAATCCCGTTGTCAAGGCACAAGTGAGTCCTTTCCACTCCCAAGGAGTAGGCTAAAATAGTAAACTGGGACATGAAATTTTGCATTAAATGATTGAAAGAAATGTTGCTAAAGACAATATTCTTGTTCCGTAATCCCTTTCTCTCTATTATAATTTCTGTTGGGAAGAAGCAGTTCTCGGGAGGAGATGAAGAATGGAATTTCCTGAATTACTTGCTGAGGGAAGATTCAACATGCAAATCAGGCCCAGTGCTTTTGACTGGAACAGTCTTACGGGCAGATGGACCAAGCCAACGTGATGGACATCGGGGGAGAGAGGTAATCACCAGGGAGGCACCCTGGCCATGCGTGCTCTCCAGGCCTTCGCCTCCCATGTATAAAACAAGGGGTTGGACAGGGCAATATTCGCTTCCCTCTGGCTCCACCTAGAGATTTGATTCAAAGAGAGTACAGCTCCCCCTTGGTGGATTCCAAAACAACGTATGACATGATTTGAAAAGATTTTACATACATTTAATGAAATGCATAATTTCGTGTGGTTCTCTCCGGCTGCTGTCCACGTCACTATCAGGGTAATGACAGAAACAGGGTGCAGGTAGGAGGAAAGATCTCCGTGCAAATTCTTCCTTACCATCAAATCGTGATTATCACTAAACTCCGAAACTTCCGAACAACCTAACAACACCCACCCAATTTTCAATGCTATCACCAAATAAAAACCACACATAAAAGCCCCCAAATGTATATTTTTACTAACAAAGAGCATAGTGAGTGTGGGCGTATGTGGGTATGGCTCTGTGTTTCCGAAACTCTGTTATAATGAGTTTAAAACCTGTTTTGTTTTTGTTTTTTTTTCTGTTTTCTAATTCACTCCAGGAAGACTGAGCATCTGCTTTTTAAATATTCTGATTCTGAAAAGTAGCGATGCTATTCATAATGTATGCTTTAGAAAAACATTCCCTTATCGCAAACTGACCTTTCCTGCATTGGGTGCCTTTCTTTGTCTCTTGTCTTCCCCTCAGTCCAAAATGCAACCGTCATCATCATTAAAGGAGGAAAATCTTTTTCGTTTTCACAAAAACCTTGAATTTCCTGTCACACTTTCCAACACTGAAGATTTTAATGACCACTTCTATCCCTAACCCCATTCCCTACTGCAGGTTTCCTTGCTTAACGGCGAGGAGAAAGAGCTGTCTCTGAGCTCTTTGGAGACAATTCAGAACAAGGGCATTGTGGGTCAGCATCTGTCCGTCAGGGGTCTGGGGCTGAAGGCAGGTGTTCGCTATTTCAGACCAGAAAAAAAAAAGGGAGGAGGAAGGAACTAACAATTATTGAAAAATGCCATGTGCCAGGCATATGTTATCTCATTAAATCCCTAAGTAATCTCTTTAAATAGGTGCATTAATACTTTATAGATGGAAAAACAGAGGCCCTACGAAGTTAAAAATCTTGTTAAAGGTCATTTTGGCAAAAACCGCATGGAGACCACATACTGGTTTGCAATTTTGTGATCATTTCAGAACAATTTTGAGAGCAAGCCCTTGGGGTCAGAATGCCTTTCTATAATCCTTAAATTGCACCTAATGGCTACTTTAGCCACAGTAAACGTAATAGATGAAGATTTATATCACATACCGAAGTGTATAAAACCTTCAGAAATAGATTATGTATTAAATCCTTAAAACACCATAAGATTGCTTTTTTATAAAAGACAGTTTTACAAAGACTCAAAGAGGTTAAGGAAATTTCCGAAGGCTCCTTCTCTCAAAGCCCTGTGGTCTCATTAATTTGCTCTAGAACACATTCGAGCAGACCCGTTGCTGCGGTTCTCGGCACTGTCCTGAACTGCTGGGCTCCCTGCGACCACGCCTGGATTCGCTCAGGTTCAGAGCCCTCTCTGAGCCCCGCTGGGGAGCCAGGCCACATCTTCCCGTTGGAAGGGACATGAAGCGTTCTGCTGAGGCTGTTTCCCATCTGCACTCTCCGGCCCACCAAACCCCTGCTCCAGAAATTAGATCTACTTGGCAAGACAGGACCCCTGGAGGACTTTGTTGGAGTCCTGAATTAGTGTCTAACCACATGGCCAGAATGGACTGACCAGACGTAAATAACACAAAGCCAGCTTGTCTGCAGGGAAGGGTGCACTCCCGGAATTCGGCACTAGGGGGCAGCAAGGCGTCAGGAAATGCACAATATCCGAATACCGAAGAGTAAATGTTTTCCTGTGTCTAATTAATGATGCTCCGCAAGGAGACTTTCTGAAGCTTTTTCTTAGTGGTTTAGGATAAATGTAGAATCCAAATCTCTACTAACTGGCAGCAGTTTTAGAAATAGGAAATTTTTTGGAAAAAATCAAATACAAAGTAGATTGGGCAAAATACTATCGAAAACACCCCCTCACTCGTATCCCGCCAACACGCAGTTGAGCCAAGTCCTCACATTTGCGTTCACCGGGCAGCAGGAGGAATTTACAACAGAGAAAACAAAGGTTGACCGGGGAGGAGGAAGGATAGCTGGGTGCGGACAACCTGATCCACCACGTGCGTGAGCCCTGCGGTGCTCCTTCCCGAGGGTGAATTTGTTCAAGAAAGTTCAGAAAGTTTGGGTATAATTAGAGCATAAGCCCAGAGAAAGACAATAGTGATCATTTTAGGAAAACCACCCTGGATGTGAAGCTGGGTCTCCACGGCCTGGAGGCATCCACTGTCCACAGGTATTGCTGAGTCTTGCCCTCTTGTAGTTATTGATAAAGTCATTCAAAGGATGGAATGAAGTCATGTATGGACACAAGCCATTGCCTTTTATTTTCTTTACCAGTCTCACCTAATTTGAAGCCTGGCAGGAGGGCGTCTTAACCCAAACACATACTCGTCTCCTTAGGCAAGAAAGCATTCATGTCGAAGCAGACAACCGGGCTGTCTCACATAAGCCCGTTTGTCCCAGAGACACAGGGTAGATTTATAACTATTTTCCTTTCACATATCGCAAATTCTCCAACTTTTATTCAGGCATTCCTGTCTTCTAATATGATTACAAAAACCCTTTCAAAAGCAAGTAGCGGCGCTTTTGGGTGATGGGGTTGGGATCGCTTCCTTCGAGTCGTACACGTATCGGCTGGTATGGGGAAGGCGACGGCGGGCCAGGCACCCTCTCCTCTGCCCCCGTGGCACTGGGAAGGCCCCAGATGAGTCCCACGGTCCTCTGCTCAGGACTGAGCCACGCCGGATAAGCTGACCAGCAGTGGTCAGCATCTTTATCTGGACAAGATGTATAAAAGCTCCAAGTGAAATCAATGCATTGAAAAGCTCACGTTTTGCTAAGTTATTGAACACTGTGCAGATCTGCAAACCTGTCCTTTGTATCAGCGCGCTGCTGAAAGGTGGCCTTTTGTTAAGTAGATTTGCTGCCAAGTGGACAGGGATTTGCGAATGTCTTTCTCATACTGGGTTTTCCTCCAGGAGCCTTGGATCTCTGTCAGCAAAGGAGTGTGAGTATGGGCTGCTGGCCAGCAGAAGAAATATTTTTATTACATAGAACTGGCTGCTGCTTTAATTGCATTTGTTAAAAAGGAATTCTAACTATAAAATAAGTTGGGAATATAGGTTAGAAATGGGTCCACGTTGTTATATAATAAACAAGAACAATACAAATGACCAGGGTATGTGCTATTTCACTCTTTTTACTATCTTTACTGAACAAGTTCGTATTCTAGATTCTTCTCTAATTATAGGATCATCCCAATTTATTATAAAGACTATACCCTAGTCCCTACTTATCTTCTGGGAAAGGTTTCCAAGACCCCTAGTGGGGGTCTGAAACCACAGGTAGCACTGAACCCCGGATGCACGGTTTCCCCTATACATACACACCTACGATAGAGTTTAATTTATAAGTGAGGCACAGTAAGACATTACTAACAACAATAATACAATAGAACAATTATAAAATGTAATAAAAGTAATGTGAATGGCTGTGGGCCATTATTAAACACAATAAGGGTGACTTGAACCCAGGCACCGAGATAACGGAGACAGGCCATCCGAACCTGGACGGCCTCTACTCGGACAGTGGTGACAGAGCGTGCTACAGGGACAAAGGATGGCGTACATCCGGGCGGTACGGTGCGGCACAGCACACGATTTCATCCCGTGACTCAGAATGGCACTCAATTGAAAACTTACAAAGAGTTTATTTCTGGAATTTTCTATGTAATATTTTCAGACCATAGTTGACTGTGGGTAACTGAAACTGTGAACAACAAAACTGCCGATAAGGGGAGACTACTCTAGTTTTACCATCATGCTGTGATAAGCACTAATTATTTAGGAATTGGTTCACATGGCTGTCATATTTTAAAAACTAGATTGTAAAATTTTAGGTCAGAAATTATGTTTTATATGCTTTTCATCTTATGGTACCCAGTAGTGAGTGGAAAATAGAGGAAGGCTCTATACGTAAAAATATCTGTTGGTCAAT